GGGGGGTCCAGACCTGACCCCGACCGCTGCGTGCCCCCATGCCGGGCCAGGCGAGCCAAGCCGGGTCGGGGAGAGGCGGCCAGGAGCAGCCCCCAGTGCAAGTTGAAGAGTCACAGCCTTTCCCCCAGTCCCTGCAGGCTGGACAGACAGCACCCGTGTGTCTGCAGCTGGGGCCGAGGGGACCTCTCCCCCCCGCGCCAGCCCGGATCAACAGACACCCGCGGACCCTGCAGCAGCCGGCAGAAGAGCCGGGAGCGGGGAGGAGAGCAGCAGAGCCGTGAACGCCAAGGTGTGCCGACGGTAGTGAGCCACAGACAGCAAAAATAAATAAGGAGGCAGGTGACAAAGTGCGCTTACGCCCTGTCCCGAAAACGGCCACTCCCCTGCCTCTTTCTGCCACCGGCGAGCGAGCGAGGAGCCAGCTAGCTCTCTGCACGCAACCCCTTTCCAAGCAGAAGCGGCAGGGCAAGGATTGCACCAGCTGAATGAGGACATTTGCATTAAGTTAATTAAAAAAACCAAAACAAAACAACACCTCTACAAGTCCGGGACACGTTTCCCTCTTTCCCAGATCTGCCCCAGTGAGCGAGTGTGTCGGGGACACTTTGGCAAAGCAGATACTTGGGCTGGACAGGGCAGCAAGGGAAAATCTCTGCTCCGTCGCTTCCTTCTCCGTCCTGTTATCCCGCAGTTCAGAGAAACCCTCTCCTTACAGCTCCTGTCCGCACCCCGCACGCCAGAGGGTCTGACGCCGCTGTCAGGACAGTTCCCAGCTTCACGGGTAGCGGGGCCGATACAGGTCCTTCCTCCAGCTGTCCGTTGCCTGTGTTTCTTCTCCAGGTTCCCTTTCACCCCTCAAAACCAGAAGGGTTTCAAAATAACGGAGTCAGACAACAAAGCCTTGCTGCTGGTTTTCTTTTTCCCTGCTGGCTAATTCACCCACCGATCTGACGCGATGCTTCCTTGTGCCTTCATCAAGAGCAAAGACGTTTCGAGTCCCTCTTTATCCTCTCAGAGCACCAAATCCACACCCATCGACGAGCGCACAGCCGGTGGCTCTCGGCCGCCCTTACTTCACTTCCAGGATGGAGGGATTCGTCTCCATGATGGCCACGATGATCCTGTCGATGTAATCCTGCAGGCGGAAATTGATCTCCTCTTGCTTCTGAATTGCTTCCATGAGCTGCAAGGGAGGGAGAAAGGGAGTGAGCGGTCACCGCCTGCCGCTGCCCAGGGACAGGAGCGGGGCTTCTCGTGGCTCTGTGCGCCCACGGAGGTTTCCCCCCTTCTTCATTCTGGCTTGGGCTGTTCCTGGCCACCTACGAGTGTTTCGTGGCGTGACTGCCAGGGACCAGATGGTTCGCCAATGACTCCTGCAGGCTCTGAAACATCCAGCTGAACTCCCTGCTCCTGCCCTGTGGGATGCCCTTACCCATGATGGGTCTCTCCTGACAGACGCTCCTGCATCCCCAGATCTCCAAACCTTGCCATGGGCGCTCGGCCACAGAAGCCAGAGCCCCAGGCGGGGAGCGCAGGCACGGCAGGCTGAGCCTGGCGCCCAGATGCCCAACTGCTGGAGGAATATGCATTGGTATCCCTGGGGCTCCCCCGCTTTTCTCCCTCCTCGAGCAGGCTCTGGCCCAAGATGAGGAGATGCCCTCAGCTGCTGGCCCTGCTCACTCCTGTCCTTCCTCAACTTCTCAGCCAGATGGGACCTTGGAGAAAGCAGGGAGCATCGCAACTCCCTTTGGCCCTCCAAACATGTGTGTTTTCCCATTACACTTCTCAGGGTCTGAAAGATATAATTCTGACACTTACGCGGGCTCGCACACCAATATCTGGGGTACAGCCATGGAGCAGGGAGAGCACGTGCCAGAGAAGCCAAGATCATTAAGATCTGTTTTAAGACTGCTACAGACAGACAGACACACCCTGTGCTCGCTGGTCTGTCCGAGGAAGAGAAAGGCAGTCACGGGGCAGGCAAAGTGGAACCACCAGTATCAGCAAGTTGGAAGGGAGCAGCTTCCCCTATTCCCAGGAAGGAGGGCTGGCGGGCAGGGTAAGTCCTGCAAGCTCTTCAAATAGTTGTGTGGGTATTTCTTTGCTCACGACAGCTTTCAAGGGCATTTTGGGAGTGAGCTGTACCACAGACAGGGCCGCAGCAGCTCCTCCCAGGCCCTCGGTTGGCTGAGAGGAGAGGAGATGCACCACCCAACCCAGGAAAATGCAGTTTGAGGTAAGCAGTACCCCATGGCACGTACCTCGTCTCTGGAGACCGAGCTGATCTCCGCTGCCAGGGATTCAGAGAAGGAGGCTGAGAAGAGGTTCTTGGCTCCCTGGATGCTCAAGTTAATGATCTGTCCGTTCAGTTCATCGTTCTGCTCCTTCAGGTTCCTGTTATCCTGTTCACAACAGACAAACATCAGAGGGTGCTGAAGCACATGGTGCCCCCAGAGCAGAACCGGCCAGGGAAGGCAGGGGCTTTCCTAACCAGCAGCTCATACAGCGCTGGGAACAGCACTCCGTCTCCTGACTCCGATTTGACAGAGCCTGGAGAACCTCTGGAAACACACAATGTGCTGGGGAGATCCAGAAGACGCAGCAGAGGGGCTCTCGAGCGTACATGCTGTCCTTCAGAGGAAGGAGCCAACCTCTCCTGTCCCAGGACAGGAGAGCAAAGAAAGCAGTGGGCTGCCAGATCCACGGTCAGCTCCTCAGGGCCCCCGCTGACCACTGCTCGGTGTCAGGGAATCGGCATCCCCTTTTGCAGACCGAGCAGCCAAGACACTTCCCTCCCTGCCCAGCCCTCCATACCTGCTTGAGCTGCTTGATCTCTTGCTCCAGCTCCGTCTCCCGCGTCCTGCTGTTGTACTCCTGGAGCCCCATGCTGCTGCTCCTGCCCCTGCGCTGCTCAGCTTCCAGTTTGAAGAGTTGCAAGTGCTCGAGCTGCTTCCTGAGGTCCTCAATGAGCTGCAGCACAAGGGAAGGAGACAACTGAGTGCCGCACCCCCTGGGAGTCTGACAGCTCGCACTGGTCGTGGCTGGTGTGACAGACGGGCTGTCCCCGAGCTGGGAGCAACCCCATCAGTTGCAGGATTAACAGACCCTTTCTGGGGGTGCACATGGCTTCCCCTTCCTCCCCCACGCCTCTAACGAACAGGAGAGGGGGAGCTACTTAAACACATGAGAGTGGCCCTGGAAGGACTTTGTTGGAGCACCAAAGATGCTGGCTCCGGGTCTGCAGCAGCAGGCAGACCCCCCCGGCGATGCGGGCACCTGCTTGGGTCCCTCCTGCCACAGCGCTGTGAATCCCCGTCTCACCCAAGTGCTCTTAGCATCTCCAAAACGACAATAATTTCCACTTTGAGGCCCAAAGCCCCTTTCCTACCCCAACAGCAAGCCCTGCTTGAGCCTCCAGCTGGAATTACCAACCACACAGACCCCTGGAAGGGGCTGGGGGGGGCTGCGTTTCTGCCCCCAAGCACACAGGAGCTGGCAGCTCTCACCCAAGCAGCCTCGCAGCCCTCTCCTCCCGCCTGCTAACGCCTGCTGGCTCCACGTGCCATCGTCGCTGCGCTTCTGCCACCGCTCCTTCGATGCAGGGGAGAAACGGGCCCCATGGGAAGGGGCCAGCGTGGCACAGCCCCACTGGCTTTGCAGATGCAGACACGCTCGGCTGAATTTTAACGCAGGCAAAAGTGACAGATGTGATATACTTAAGCTGCTGTACTGCCTTTCTTGCCCAGGCAGGATGAAATGCTCCAGTTATACCTATTTTTGGAGAGGCTGCCAAGGCCAGCTTCCCCACGTAGCCCTAATTTGGGGGACTAGCAGGACAGGGCTGTGGCAGGCAGCCCCTGCTCTACTTACCTCCTGCGTCGACTCCTTCTCCTTCTGAAACTGGTGCCTCTCCTGACTCAGCTTGTCCCCCATCTTCCTCTTTTTCTCCTGCTCCTCTGTGAGCTGCACAGTGAGGTCTTCGATCTCATCCAGCAGCTTCTGCTTCTCCTGTAACGACACGAAAAGCAATAGTCACAGGGTCTGTCTTCATTCGGCGCTGCCAGGGCTCTTCCCACTCGCTCAAGGACACGGCACACGCTGAGCACTGCAGGGAAGGCTCTTCTCGCTGACGCATTCGGATGCTCTGCCTGCTGGGATTTCATTTGCTGTCTGAGGGCTTCAGAGCCCGAGTGCTTTGGCAGCAGCAAGAAGAGCCACACACCAAAACAGCACTGCTAAGAGAGAGGTAATAAGAGATGACTCAAGAATAAATGCACACAGGCAAATACCCGCACTTGTGCGGCTTTCTGGGCAGCGCGATGCCGGTGCGGGACACGGCTTGGGTGGGACTGGGGCCAGCACGGGGGCTATAGGCCAAAAAGAGACGTTAAATCATAAGGCTCCTTAGGTCTGAATTTCAGAAAAGCCATGAATCCAAGACCTTAAGCCGCTCTAGGGATGCTCATTCTCGGTTTCAGATATGAAAGAACTGAATTGAGGACTGACCCAAGCCAGGATGTAAAACATACAGCCCAGCTCTCCCGCTCTGTCCCCTTCCTATAGTCAAAGCCTTGGCTGAAGGTTTGAGGTAAAGCTTGTCACTTGGCGATGACAACAGCCCTGCGCAGGCCACTTCCCTGAACAGCAGCACCCTTCTGCCTATGACCAATTCACCCCCTCCCCAGGCTCACACCTTCCCGCCTGGCTCTCCCCGTAAGGAAGGTTTTGGCTTTCAGAAAGCCAAAAATGCCACAAGACCCCAGCCCACGCTGGTGCTGGATGGCCCATGCCATGAAGAAGTGAGGAGCAGCTCCGAGGGGGAGCTCCAGCTGCTGGCTCTGGGGTGTCCTACGGAGCAGAGCACCAGAAGAACCACACCAGCAAGAAACACAACGCTGACGACAAAATCCTGATTTTGGACACTGGACAAGACAGCAGTTCATCAGCAGGGCTTCTCCCTCGGCAGGGAGGGGCAGCAATTGCACCTCTCACTCCTCATTAATCCCATTAACTGTGGAGAAAAGCAGCACTGCTCCGCAGAGAGATTAAGGATTAAAACCAATTTTGCGTGGCTGAAACACACCTAGGCAGGAAATTTATCTTCAGACCCACAGGGGTTTTTCTACCCCCAGCCTCAATGCACTGTGCTTACAAGGTCTCGGCAGATGAAGACCACTTCATCGTGGCCACGTCAGGTGGAGATGGAGCTGCAGCCCTCTTCTGCAAGCTCAAAGACTGCGAGCGGATGAAATGCTTGAGGGCCTTCAGCTGGGCAGAGGGGTTTGATTTCACTTAAATTTTAATCTTACATCTGCCACAAGCTTGAACAGAAACAAAGCGCAGCCTTTGTACCAGATGTTACATCTGTAACCCACATTCTCTCCAAAAATGAAGATCTTGTCCATCCCATGGAGACTGCGGCGCCTCGGCAAGCCTCCCCACCCCGGCCCCGTCAGCAGCCGCACACTCTTGAATCCCGAGCAGGGCGAGAGGATCTGGGAGATAACACGGCGCTTTGAAGACTCAACTCGCAAATCCTAGCGAGGGCGTATCTGCCCGGGCAGGTCGCGAAGGTGAAGCATGCCTGCTCCTCTTCCTCCCTTGCAGCGGACTGTCCCGCTGCGGGCTGCAGCCGCAGGGATGGGGACAAGCTTCCACAAGAGGGCACGAGTCCCCTCCTAACCAGCCAGGACAGGGCTGCCACCGCTGCCCGCTGCGGCTTCACGCAGGCTGCACTGTCACAGAGATTTATTAAGGGGTTTGTTAATCCCAGCTTCCAAGCCAAACACTGGGAACCTGCACGGGTAGCGGTATGGGATAGCTCTGGTTCAAGGTGAGGTCTGCAGGGACTGGAAGGCAGAAACAGCTGATTTGCTCGTTATATTAAACGGATCTCACGTAGGCCCTTCGTGTAAATGAGAATTTCAGCTCCAGCCTTCTGAGGCTGCAGGTGGGAACCCAGAAACACAGCTCCGGCTTGCGCACCCCAAGCACCCACGGTCCTCACCTCCTCCAGTCTTTCAATGTTAGCTTTTAAACAAGGGACGCAGGATCTCAGCTCGCTGTTCTCATCATCCAGTTGCTGCAGCCTGCAACAGTAGAGAGATGCGTAAGAAACTCACCCAAGCACCCCAAGTGTAGGAGACTTGGTTGAAACATCACTACGAATATTAAACCAGGACCTGCTGAAGGCAAGCCAGCAGGGATTTATCTTTTCAAAGCAAACCCTGAGACTTCCATTATTTCTACTCCCAGGGGAAAAAGCGGGGCATCCACATGACTTCTGGCAAGTCCGCTGTCCAGTGCCATGCCCTTCTCAATCAGGTCCAAGGCTATTCTTTAGGCCAAGGGCTTCATCAGTCCACGGGCAAGCCTCAGCACTAGGCACCAGAAAGCAGACACATCGCCTGGGCAGAGTCAGAGCAGGGTTCAGAGAGGGCTTCAGCTTTGCATTCTCCAGGTAGTAACATCCATTTGTCATGGTAACTGTCCTACTACAAGCCTGGTAAAAAACCCCACTGCCTTCATCTTTCATTTACTGGAAGGGTTGAACAATAGCAAAACACGTTCTGGAAAAGCAGCAAGAACCCTGTCAAATAAATGAAACCTCTCCCGCATCACTTTTTCCTTTGGAAGCCACCAGGCGGCATGAAGCACCCTGTCCGGGACACTGCCTGTCGGACAACTCTTCCTTCCCAGATATTTGCCTGTTTCCACAAAGGTGGAAAACATCAGAGAATCAAACATGCTTCCATGAGTCATTCATGGGAACAAGCACTAACAAACCCCCTCTTCATTCACACGCTGTGGGGCAGGCGCACGGATAGAGAATGTGAGCTAAATTTAAACTGCATCAGGGAAATTCAAATAAAAAGTCTGAGACCAGGTTCACGGAGGGGCTTGATTTTGGAACGAAGGTAGGAGAAGTAGCCAAAACTCAGGGTTTATAGTGACTTCAGTTACACCTTTAACCAAGTTAAACTCACTGTCTACCGCACTCCCCAAAGGTTGCAGTTGCAAAGCAGCAGCCTGTACGCGTATTCCAGCGTGTACATGTGGGTCCAGGAGACCTGCCAGCACCCAGCCCTGCCCCAGCCCCACCTGGCCTGCAGGTTTTCAATCTCAATGCTCTTCTCCCTCTCCATTTTGCTCAGCAGCTCTCTCTGCTTCTTGATCTCCTCCAGGAGTGTTTGGTCAGCTCTCAGCTCCTGCTCCTTCAGCTGTTCCTCGAGAGCATTTGCTCTGCAGAGAGGAGAGAAAAAGGATTAACCATTCCTGATGCCTCACCCTGGCACGCTGCCATCCCAAGGGAGGGATCAGACTCTCTTCCGAGCCTTTCTCCCACTGCACGGGAGAGCTGGAAGAAGCAGACTTTAAAACAGAGCGAGGGAAAGTACACCTATTGCCATCTCAAGCAGCAGGTATATGAGGGCTTCACTTTGTCCCAGCAGATGCAGTGGGAAAGCAACAAGGTCCATGAAACCCCCAAGGACACCACTGCTGACCAACGTGACAGTCAAATAAAATAAACCAGGTGGTACATGCTGGTATTGTCTCTGTCTAGTTTAAGTCTCCAGGCTGCATCAAAACCCTTTTTAAGGGGGAGGCCAACAAGAGGATGAGGTGAGGGTGAAAGCACAGTAATCGTTTTATAACCCGCAGCCTGTGGGTCAGTCACGGCACCACCTAGAACAAGCTACTTAATTGGAATCTCATAGAATCATTTAAGTTGGAAAGACCTTTAAGATTATCGAATCCAATCATAAATCCCAGGGTTGTGGTTTCACCCGTAGTGGCCATGGCAGAGAAATCCTCCTGCAGCCGTTTCTAGCATTTTGGACTCCTTTACTCTGCCCTGAAGTAGTCTCCTTGCCCAGAGAAAAGACAACAGCCCCAATCCTCCTCCTTTCCACTCTCTCATGTCCCCAACAAAAAACACAGGATCTGCAGGTCAACCTTCTCTGTGTGCCAGCACAACAGCAATTTCCACGTGGTCCTGAGACGGTGACAGTGCAGGCAGTGGCCGCGTTTGCTCAGACAGGGCAGAGGAGTTTGCCAGCACGCCTACCCGTCCTCTGGAGCCCGCGCTGCAGGGAATCGCCCCAGCAGTGGTCCGAGGGCTGAGGTTCGCTACCGTGCTGGAGTTTATGCAATCGCTTTGCATAGGCAGGTGGGGAAGGCTTTGGCCAAGCGAACCTATTCTTTAACCAGCAACGAGTACACTCGGGGCTTTACTTGATTAAAAGCCGACTGACACTTCTGGGCCAAACCACTAAAGTGAAAACATTTCCCTCGCTGCAAAGTTTATCAGGGCTTAAGAGAAACCTTTGTTTGAATCACGCGATTCCCTGACACGATTGTTACTTAACAGTCTTACAGCCCTATAGATAAACTCCTGCCGGGTTTATCTGCTGAGGGTAAATATGCTGCTGGAAGAGAGAAGCCTGCCAGATTAGTAAAGACAGCGATTACATCAAAGGGGATCCAAAGGGCTACACCCCAGCCAGGATCCAAAAGCAACAGGATCAAGGCTGGCTGAGGGGAGGGTAGAGATGAGTAGTAGGGACCCCGCTGTACCTTCCACCCAGACCTAATGGGCGAAATAAGGGCCGGAGAGTCCATACAGAGCGAGCATGAAGTATATATCCTTCCTGAACAGGAAGTTTTCCAAGAAGCATGACCCCCCTGCGGTCCTCTGAGCCAACTCCTGGAGCTCCAGAGCTCCACAGAGAGCTTTCAGGATGGACACGTGGGATGGGGAAGCACATAAAAAAAGACATAAAAAAAAAAGATCTAAAAAGCACTGTTACAGTTACATCTGAGCAGAAAAGAGATATTTGCCATTTGTCCCGGCTGAGCTGCAAGCCGTTTCCTGCGCTCCTGGGAATTTGCCAGAGACCCAGAAAAGCGTGTGCAGGATGCCGCCATCCCACCCGCGGCCCTCGTGCAGAGAAGGCAGCCTGAACCCCGGCTGGATTTAACCACGGCTGCCCTCTGCCAGGGCAGGATCGGATCGTCAAGGGCAGAGCTGTGAAGCTTTCCTGCTATTTTCTGTCCGTCTCCCTCCTCTCCTGCTGCCTCCTTTCCCCACACGCTCCGGCAGCTCCTGCCTGTGTGCAGGAGCCCGCTGGAAAGGCACGGGGTGCTGCAGTACACAGAGGGGGAAAAGAAAAAGCTGATGCAAAGCTGCATTTTGGCCACAGCACAAGCCAGGCTCCCTTACCTGTGCACGAGCTGCAAGTTTTCCTGCTTGAGGCGGCTGTGCTGCTCGCCGTTAGCGGCCGTGTCCTTCTCCAGCTCCGTCACCCGCTTCTCCAGAAAGACCACCTGTGCATGGAGAGGGAGGATCAGCCGCCCGCGCTTAAACCCGCTGGCAAAGTGGCACCAAGTGCCGGAGCAATCCCCACCTCCTCCAGCACACCCTGCAGGTGCCCAGCGCTCGCTTTGGGGCTGCCTCGGTTTGTGGTACCGATTCAGAGCCGGTCACCCCGACACAGCTCCCGGCATTACCGGCGTCCCGCTCTTCACTGCACAAAACAGCCTGAGCTGCAGGAGCCATCACTGGGGTTTGCTCCTGGGCGAGCTACTTAAAAAGGGATGGTTGCCACTGGAATCGGGTAGCCATGCCTCGATTTAAAGCATCCTTTTAAAACACCCTTTTACACCCTGGTTTCTCAGTTTTTGAAGTCTCCCATGTACCAATATGGGGCCAAAGGCTTCACTCTTCCCTTTCTTCATGCCCTTCATGACGATATCCTACACGGAGGTCTAGAGGGAAAGACCCCAGCTGGATCACCAGAGCTCCGCTGCGTCCACGTGCAGCCCGCAGGCTGGGGAGAACCCCCCGCTGCCCGAAACAGGACCGAAAGACCCTGGGTTCACAGCTCTATGTAAATAAAGTCACGCAGGAGGAAACAATGCCAACTGGTGGGAAAGGACCAGAGATGAGTATTTTCTCCCTGTACCTTATTTCAGCTGTATTTGCATTTTCATTCGCTTTCCCTAAATAGTGCAGAACTTTGAAGAGCAAAGGGGGCCGGGAGTGCCCCTCTTCTTCCCACCCAAGCAGGAGGGTGGGCAACCGCAGAAGGACAGAATTCGCGGTCCCAAAAATCCCATTTATACCCATACAAGAACAATCATGAAAGAGCGGCAATTAGGAGCATGTCTGCAAAACCCGAGCCATCGCTCCGGGGAGAAAGGCAAGCGACATGCAAGCGTATTAAAAAAAGACACATGCGGAGACACAAGGCCTTTCCCAGAAGTGCATACACAGTTTCCCAAGCCAGATGCCTTCAGGAATGTGAGTGTTTTATTCAACTTCCAGACTTGGAAAAATGTTGATTTTTTTAAAAATTTTTTAAAGGTCTTCTATGCATTACAATTACAGCAGAGTGCAGCCACACACATATGTATTTCTCCTTCACATTCTGCTCCATGCAGCTATTTGTGATTCCAGAATTAAAAAGCCATTTACCAGGAGTTTCAGGACTGCAGCCACACAAGCCACAACTCACCTATCTTTACCTTTCCTGCTTTCCCTTAGCTATTTTTTAGCTAGGGGGGATCAAACAAAAGCTTTCTTGTGCTCCTGCCCCGCTACCATCTTGCCCTACAATCCTTTTCTCGTAACACCCCAGTAAAACCCAACAGGACCAGCACAAAATTAGCTTTAAATCTTCGCGGCACGAGCAGCAGCAGCAAGAGCATGCCGAGGAAAGGAAGTCCTTGCTTCGCATCAGGCCACTTTGCTCATCTCAGAAAAGCAGAATTTAAGAACATCTTATTACGTGAAGCAGAAGTGAAAATACAGCCTGCAAACAGCTACCCCCTCCTCCCGGCGGGAAGCCACCCTCACTGCGAGCGGGGCAGCACCTCCACCCCAGGAGAAGGCACCAGTGCCACCTCCTGACTCAACACAGGCCCTCTGCAATTCGACTCAGAGCGCTCTCATCCTCCATCCCCTCGATTCGGAGGGCTTCGTGCGTCCCGCCTTGTGCAGCAAGAAGAGCTTCAGCCTGACTCCTGCCTGGGGATCTCATAGAATCATAGAATCGTTAAGGTTGGAAAAGACCTTTAAGATCATCGAGTCCAACCATCAACCCAACACCCCCATGCCCACTAAACCATGTCCCTAAGCACCTCCTCTACACGTCTTTTAAATACCTCCAGGGATGGTGACTCCACCACTTCCCTGGGCAGCCTGTTCCCAGGCCTGACCACTCTTTCAGTAAAGAAGTTTTTCCTAATGTCCAGTCTAAACCTCCCTCGGCGCAACTTGAGGCCATTTCCCCTCGTCCCATCGCTGGTTACTTGGGAGAAGAGACCGACCCCCACCTCGCTACAACCTCCTTTCAGGTAGTTGTAGAGCGCGATGAGGTCTCCCCTCAGCCTCCTCTTCTCCAGGCTAAACAGCCCCAGTTCCCTCAGCCGCTCCTCATCAGACTTGTGCTCCAGGCCCTTCACCAGCTTCGTTGCCCTTCTCTGGACACGCTCCAGCACCTCAATGTCCTTCTTGGAGTGAGGGGCCCAAAACTGAACACTGCAAGCCACTACACGCTCCGAGATAGCACAGACAGCACTGCCCTTACCTTGTCCGTGATGTCCTCTTCTGTACACTCCAGCGTATCCCGGTAAGACCCCTCCATCACCCCGACGGACAGCGCGCTCGTCTGATGCAACTGTCTATAACAGAGACAAACCACCCCAGCCCACAGCAAAATGAACATTAGAGCCAACATCGCGGGACACGGCAATTTCAGATGACAACTGCTCTAGCAGGATACACTCCCTTCTCTCCCCTCCTCAGCTGCCACCTCCTTTTCCAAGGGGATTTAATAGCACTGCTCCTGCTTGGAGCAAAGGACGGCGTGGGCCAGGTCCTTCTCACCACCAGACGCCCCAACGGGCAATGAAGCTCATCACCTCGGTGCGCCCAGATAACAGGGCTGAGTGGGTGGCTGCTTACCGGCCGAACGAACGCACCCCGCGAGGGAAGCGCAGACGTGGACACGTGCTGCTAGGACTTCACACCATGATCATTCGTTCTTGCTCTTTGGAATGGGAGGAGATAAGAGCCCACTCTTTTCACTTTCTTTCTTTACCGACATACCAAGGCCGTGTATTATCCAGCAAAGGACAGAGTACTCCGCTCTAGCCACTGATAAAGGTAAGAAGTGGGGGGCAGTGGGTGTAAGGGAAGGGAGGGGAGAAAAAAAAACCCTGAACCTGTTGTGAAACACCCCAGCCCACCTCCCCGCACCGGCCACGACAGCCGAGAGCGAGCTAATCATTAGCAAGGCCTTGCGACACCGCTGTCCACAGCTTTGCGGCGATCTAAAGGACACCCCGTGGAGGGGCTGATCTGCGTTTAATCCTCGTGATATCGCTGCAGATCAGCTCCATCGTCTCGTGGCACAAGAAACCGCTATTGCCCCAGGGAGGGGTGGTTGTATTCCAGCTCTGTGAACCCCGGGCAGATGCTGCCTGGAGAAAACCACTCTGCTCTCCCACAACACAAAGGATGAGCAGCCTGATCTACCTTTGAAGCCAGCACTGCTTTAAGCAGGAGGTGAACGAGAAAACCACAGAGGTCTTTTTGAACCTCAATTTTCCGAGGAATTTGTAATGTGGGCTCTCAAATTCACCCTGCTACGCAATATGCTCATGCAAATATTCGTGAAGCGTAACTGGCATTTACCGAAGAGACCACAGCTGAGCACCAGCCTTATTTTGCATCCTCACCCCGAGTATATATTTAGATCCTGAAGTCTCGGGCACATTTGTCATTTAAATCGTGCCAAGCACAACGGGGCCTAAGCAGCTGAGATTTCTTGGCACAAGCAGAACCTGGATAACAAAAGTCAGGAAAGAGCCCTTACTAAAATAAAATCAGTTTCCTAAAAGCCAATGTTTCGGTATTATTCAGTCATGACAGTATCTGCAACAAAGGGCTTTCTTTGGGCTGATCTTAAGGATCTGGCTCTACTCTGCAGCAAAACCCTGTTACCTCTGTCGTTATCACAAACTAGACTTGACTGCTCTTGAATTAACCAATATTTACCTAATTTACCTGGGACAAGTCCCAGCCTCAGAAAAGCATCTTACAAACGCAAAGGGCCAGGAGAGCTCAATCCCCCATAGACAGGGCATCTCCATTCCCAAAAGTGTAACTCAAATTCTCCCCAAATTTGCTCTGCCAGACACGGGACAAAAACTAGACCTAAACCAGGAAACCTGGGGACAGGCTGCTCCCTTCAACCTTCTTTCCTGCCAGTGTTTTTGCCAAAGATCTAGAAAGCAAGATAAACGGAACTAGGAAATGTAATATCAAGGACCTGCTTCCTCGCCAGGAGGGGAAATCGTGCCAGGGGAGAGTTGCTGACCGCGGGACAAATGGAGGAGGGAAAGGTGTGAGAGCACAGCGGGGAGGGAGACGTACAGAAGCTGCTCGGGTGAGCGCAGGGAGCAGATCGAGTGCCAGGGCACGGGGGTACGAGCATCACCCAAATCGAGCTGCCTATTCCTCTGCACCATCCCTGCCCTGCTCGGAAACGACTGCGAGGACGTTTGCGAGGGCAATCTCCCTCCCAAGAGAGAGGCAGGACAGCTAAGGTAAACCTTAGTATATTCTTAAACGCACGATGACACAGGAACAGGAGGGATGGTGAAGCTGGGACAGGAAAGGTGAACATCGAGAGGGGATGGACCCTCTGCCCCAGCGATTCAGCGCAAACTCTGCAGCTTCTCCTGTGCAGGCAGGGATAAAAATGCCCACAAAGAAAGGGTGACGGGCATCACGTGAGGTGGTCCCGCAGGACAGAAGCGGCACGGCGTTAAACCCAGGATGGGGTTACCTGCAGTCTCCCCCCGGGAGCTCCCCAGAGCCCCTGCCCGAGCTGGAGGGCTGCTCCCGCAAAGCCAAGTGCCAAGGATTACACTGAGCAAAGTAAAACAGAGCCAAGAGAGTCATCTAAGATGACTAGTTTTTTTGGGGTGCTAAAGAAATCCCTCCGAGCGGGTGTACTGACTGGTCTGGTCTTCTAGAGACCCACCATGGTGACACTGGGGAGAAGACAGCCCAGTCAAGCAGTCCAGAGGGACATGCCCTTCTAGAGACTCCTTCCCCACTCCACATGCCCTCTGCCAGGGCACTGGCAGGGTGGCGGGGGGAAGCACCCCAACTTTTGTCCTGGAAAAACGTCAGGTTGACACCAACCCCCAGCTGCATGCACGAGTGAGAAATCCCCCATTTCAGAAAAATGGCTGTTACAAACTATACCAGAATTAAACCCACT